GCGCCTCTACAGGCATCTGTACGTGTAATGATTCTGAAATTACCTCTTTTTTGTTAAAAGTTGAATATTGATTGATGGATGAAAAAAAAAAAGGGATGTGTTTATGTGTTTATTTAGACAGAGTCAGTGTGTTTGTATTGTGATGCCTAAGATTAGATTGGATGTATCTTTATTATTTCCCCGTTGGAGAAATTAAAATTAGACACAGCAGCACAGGGGAATGAAGTGCAATAAGGATCCCAAAATAATAATATTACAAAATATAATGGAAAATATTTTGAGCAGCTTTTTGTGCAACTTAAAGATAAATAGTTTGTGCATCATTGGTTGAAGTTAAACCAGTGTTTTATTCTGACAAATAACTCCTATCTTATAATAATAAAAAACTAAACTAAAAATAACACTGAAACTAACAATAAAATAATAATTTGAATGTGTGAGAAAAGCTTTTGCCTCATTTACAGTCTATAATAAAGTGAATTCATTCTTCTGACTGTAAGGAAGTTTATATTCCTACACACAGTCTCACCTTTTGTCATCCTCAGAGCTCGACCCTCGACCCTGACACACAGGTGTGTCGAGCTGTTCATTCATAGCTTTATCTGCCTTTAAATGGAGTTCCAGCTCTGCTTTGTGTGCTGAGGCTGACAGCTGAGGTCTTATACAGCTTCTCCCTCAATAAACAACTGCTGGGAAACAGGCAGTTAACTTTAGTTCCACCCAAAGAAATGAAACTGTCATGCTGACTTCTCAGCTAAAAGACAGAATAACATAAAATCATAAACAATAAGAGTGTAAATTCTCATTGAATTTTCATCACACTACGATATTACAGCACCTAAAGAAAGTTTATATATTTTATTTACTGTATTTATTTATTAAAGGATATTTTATTGAAATTTTATTGAATAAAAATGAAATGTAGTTCCCTTTAGACTACTTTTAAAGTAATAAAAAAATACAATTTATTATATATTAAATTAATATTTAACATAACATAATATATGAAATATTACATAATATATATTTAACTGATTTTATGTAGAGATCTCTTTGGCATATTATCTCAAAGTAAACATTATATCTGTATTATCACTCAATGTTGTAAAACTATTTACAGGCTCCGTAATGTTTCACAGTCTTTATGGCCGAGAGCACAACGACAGGAGCGGCTGACAGAAGCTACTGGTAGCGAATCAGTGAGATCGTAAGTCACTGTTTCCACACTGAATGTGGACGCAGTCAGTTCAGCAAAATAAAGCTGGAAGCTGTCGGCTACAATAATACTACTACTAATAATAATATAATGAGGTTTATTTATAGTGTTTTTCATTTATACAGGGATAAAAACATACATACATGTTATATATGTTTGGCCCAAACGTACTCTTAATACTTTCTGACTTCCTGTCTGTCCTCCATGGCTGAAAAATCAACCTGTAGTTCCTCTAACAGCCACTAGAGGCTGGCTCCAGCAGTGAGTCAGTCTCCATAAGGTCTCATATTGAAATACTTTACATTAGAAGGAGGGAGAATTTATATACAAGTCAGCCATTAAAATTATATCAAGGATTAATTTTTGCATAATTAAGGGTGTGGCTGCTTTAAGTGACAGGCTGTCACATGTGACTGTTTTCCAGGCTTCATTCAGCTCCATGTCTTTGCCCACTGGCGACAGTGTGCATGACGTTTTTTTACTTAATAGGAAAAACTTTTGTTTGTCGTTTCATCTTTATAGTTTATTGTCTGAACCTGTGAGATAACCCAGCCCCCTTCGTTTGAATATAACTGATGGAAATAAATGTGTCACCAGGAAACAAAGATACCCTGAAATAAATATAGTCCTTAAATGTAAGAAAATTTATTTTATTTGTTGTTTGCTGACTCTTTAATATCTAATCATAACAAGACATGTTTGGCTCCTGATGAAAAGACTTCCTGCTGTCGTACGCGCAGGTTTTATAACATTTTCCAGGACAACAGAGATTATTTACAGGATATTTTATAATTGTATTAATTATCCAGGTGTTTCCATGACTGGAAAACTAGTCTCTCAATTTCCAGGTTTTCCAGGATGTGTCATCTTCAACCTTCAGGTCTCATGTGGAGTAGCTAATGAGCTAAATGCTTAATGTTGATGTGTAGCAGGTTTATCTTGTTCACTATCTTAGTTTATCTTGTTACATTAATGTCTGAAGCACATTTCATCACAATCCATCCAACTCTCCACTGAGTTCACAGATTTATTACTGAACTCTGAACTTTAGAGAAAAGAAATGAAGCTCAGACGTAGAAAACATGGAACGTTTATTTTGATCACGTTTTCAAACACATTTGTTTTGTTTCGTCTTTTTTTGGTCGAATGTCTGAAAACAGAAAATGACTGAAAACTGGTTTCTGTGAAGAAAAACAAAGAAAAGATGTAAATCTGCTCGGTTGTTGTCATTAAATCAGACGTTCACTTGATTGAGTCAAAGCTGGATTGTAATCGTCACATTTGAAGAGAAACAAACATCAAACAGCAAATTGTGGGTGAAACTATGGAAGCCCTGAACCGTCATAAATGCAAAGATTTCTTTTATCTTTTATCTCGGTACAACAACGGTGAGGTTGATTAATCTGGACAGACTATGACGTACACACATTGCTCTGTCGGGTGTGTCAAACTAAACAACGTGACCTTTACGAAGTGTAGCTGTAAGAATGTTTGTAATGAGACATAATGTAAAATCCCTCATTTCAAATCACAGAAGGGAAAACATCCTTTCAACCAATGGAAACAGCTTTGAAACTCCACTCTTATGATTCTTATAAAGTATTTATTATCTCAAGAAATCTGCCTTTTGTTCTCAGAGATAAATTCCCGAGATAATTAACTCGCAATAACATTAAACGGCATTAAAGAAGTGAATGATTATATGACGGTTTAGAGATTCCATATAAACAAATAAATGACTAAATGTTGATTATCAGGCTCCAGTATGAGAACGCCACTGAGGTCTGATGTAAGATGGCTGATAAATGTGCACATGTGGCGTTAAAACGCAGCAATATTAACAATTAAAGGGACGATAAAGGAGATCACGAGCAAACAATCTTTAACTAAGATCTCAATTTACTGATTCATGTTTACAACAAAAACTGGTCCAGAGTTTATTTAACAAACAAACACTCTGAGACGTAACGCTACAGTTTCCCATTTTATAGTTTGCCAGCAAACGCAACGTTCCACATTTACACCTAAAGTAACGATCAGCTCCGGATTGTAGTCAGCAGGTTGTCCATTAACAGACGATCAATACTTATTGTGAAATGACACCAATCAGTAACTGCTCAGAGATACAGTTCAGACTCTTCCTAAGCCCCGTCCCTTTTTGCTCTGTGCTCCAATCACAGTTGAGCTAGCCTCGATCAACTTCCTCCTTTCCTGTACTGTAGGTATGCTACGTGCTAGGCTAATCCATGTATATATATATATATATATATATTTTATATTTAATAATCTTCAAAATGTGGTTGTCTTTTCAACATTAGCGTAGCACGTAGCATATCTAAGTACAGGAAAGGAGGAATGTGACCGAGGTCCAAAAAGGGGCGGGGCTTAAGAAGGGTAAATTGGATTGACGACCAAATCACAGCAACGAAATCTGCGATGTCGTGCTGAGCGACAGCTGCTGTCGGGGCAAATTTTGGTCAGTTTTTAAGCATTTAATTAATGATGGCTGAAGTTTATCGATAAAATCAAAATGTGACAAAGTGCGAAAATAAATGATTTAGTACGTTAAACATTCTCACAACAGAAATGTCTGATTTCCATCGTTTGACCTTTGACCTGGAGCTCTTTCAACCATCACCTCGTTGTGTCTTCTTCTTCTACAACGCTTTAATGGGACAGACCGGAGAATTAGCGCCACCTGCTGTTTATCTCTTCATACACAGCAGCCTTGGACGGAAACAAGCACTCATTTACATTTAATTCAGTTAACATTTGTCTACTGAGTTTGACAGTGAAGAAGTTGTTTTACTCTTTAAATTAAAGATATTCACATATTCTGGAGGGAAAACGAGTGGATGTGGAGGTCATTTTGGTGGGAAAACCACATCAAACACACATTATTGTTCCAGAGTTTCTGTGTCTGTGGTTGTCTTTAATATATTTCCAGTAACAGCAACAATAAAATATTTTAAAACTGCATAAAACTGCAGTGGATCAATCAGTGATGAAGTCTTTGAACTGGAATAAAGCAAATGTTTGGATAAATGTTATATTCCTGCACTTCAGAGGGAAATATTGTGCTTTTTAGTTACAAGTTACTCTTCAAATCATGATTTCTAATACAGAACTAATAAGCTACATTAGCTGCAGCTGTTTACACATAAAACATCAATAATGTAATAAATATAATAATAAAACTGAATGGGGCCAAATGAGGATTTCTACTTCTGTTACTTATTTGTACAATTTGACTTTTAAGTATAACTTTTACTTATAACAGTATTACTTATTTAAGAGTCTTTTTTTTAATCTTCTTCCACTGTTGGTAAAAACATGTTGCAGGTTGAACAATCGGCCCCCTCTAGTGATGTTTCAGAACAAATACTTGCACATTTTAAGCAACTTTTCCTTTTCTTTCTCTTGATTTTATGACTCTTATTTTCTGATTTCACGCATTTCTCCTCGTTTTATATATTCAGGGTCTTTTTTTTTACCTTTTTCTTCCTCCTATTAAATCACTTCATCGATCACTGATCATCAAACTATGGACCAAAAGTCTGGACTCAATGTGATTCAGTAAGACATTATAATGAGAAGCTTTCTCAGAATATTGACTGTGTGATACTGAGTCATTATTGAGATAAAGTTTCTCATTATAATGTTTCACAGGATCCTTTTTGTTCCTGTAACAGACACAGTTGAGTTTAATTTAGAGAGTTTGGGATTTGTTGCAGCCTTCAACCGTAAAGTAACTTCCCTCCTTCCTCCCGTCGGTCAGTAGTCCTCCACCCAACCGTTCTCCAAAATAAAAGCATCAATGACTTCCTTCATGGCGAGGTTTGGGATGAGCTGATCTTGGGTCAGAGGAGAGCGCGTCACCGGGTCAAAATGGCCGACTCGCTACAAGAGAACAAACATTTTTTAACAGCAATAATTACTGTAATTTCACACATAATGACTTTTATTACAGTTCTATAACTTTTAACATTCACATTAAAATCTTAAATCTTAATTAAAGTCTGATTATTCACCAGTATTTATAGCTCATTGCATTGGTTTTACAGTGTGAATATCTTTAATTAAACATTAAAAGACAAAGAATTACAGATTAAATACAAAAATAAAGCTAAAAACTGTATTTTAATTATAGAAAATTACTGTATTTTCAGTTATTGTTATTTTACTTTATTTTTATTTGGTGCTCCAGCTGTTGCAATATTAGTTAAAATACTTAAAAAGGACCTAAAATGCCAGAAACTGTCTGGTCTATTCAATCTATTAAATGCCACCAGGGGGAGACAGAGAGTCTATAGCTGTCTCGTTGTTACACATGTTGTTGTCATACTGAGCTCTAGTGGGGGGGTTCTTACCTGCAGGTGCTCTTCGATGTCTTTGCGGTCGTACGTGACCCCGCTGGGAGTGATACACGGCTCTCTCATCAACTCAAAGCTGATCTTTCCACACAGGAAGTCGGGGATCTCTCGCTTCTGTCAAACGCAACGCGCTCCGATTACAGTAATTATCATCATCATCATTATTATCTTTATTAATGTCGTCATCCACACTGACCTTCCTCTTCTCGTCCACTTGACAGAAGAGCTCCTCCATGTCTGACAGATACTTGTCCTGTAGGAGGATACGAACAGGTTAACAGAGGGACAGACAGCGTCTTAGTACACAGGACTGTAACTGAACGCTGCACTCACATGGAGTCAGGCATTAGACGTAGACGAGTTCAGATATTTTAACAACCGGATGCTACGTAGCTCCCAGGAAACATCCATCTGGACAACAAGAAGCTAATAATGAAATAATTACATTAAGTTAGATACACCAAACACATTTTATCACCATAGCAACATGTCGCCATGTGTGCCTGAATCCATGTGAATGCAGCACAAACAGGAAATGACAGTAAGACGTTTCCTTCTTGTGAACGTAACTCTAATGCTGCGTTCCCACAATGTGAGTCTGTTGAACTATGTTAGCGTAGCTCTGATCAACCAAACTCCATTCAGAAAACAAGCATTTTAAAAGTTGTTTGCTCGTGTCATGATCCGTTT